GCACTATCACAGACCACTGCTTTGTCATAGGTGTTCGGGCAGGACAGGCCTCACCCTCAAAGCAGGGCGCTCAAAGCTCTAAGGAAGCCACTCTGCCCAGGGCTGCTTCAAACTCTTAGAGATCAGGTTCCGCACCAAAAAACTGACAAGCCCGCCTTCACATGCCATGAAAAGTTACCAGCAAGAAGAGTAAAAACAGTAATTATAATACACACACATACACACACACACAATGTATATATTTGGGAGTTCCTTGGAAGGATCATTAAAGGCAGGTGTTTACCAACTACAGCCAACCAACTGCAGCCAAGCTTTGTAGAAATGAACATTTCTTTAACAACTAAAAACCAAAAAAAAAAAAAAGAGAGAATATGCCTAAAATTGCTACAAGTTTGGCTTCTTTGGCTGTGATTAGTCACAAAGCTGGTCTGCAGTTTTGAGGTCGTGAGTCAGCCCTGACGGGGTAAGCCACACTACTGGTTAGAATTTGCTACGGCAAAGTTCAAAATACTTGCAAAATAAGTCAACTGTATGAACTATCAGCTTCTGGAGAAAGCCAGTTGAGGATAGTAACATAATTAAAACTTTGAAACTCCCCAAGGGTCATTTCCTGTTTCTTTCTCTCCCATACTTGAATACTCATTTATCAGTTGCTTTGGAAGCACAGGATGTCTGGTCTTAAAAGACGGCAGTATGTGTTTGCTCACTCCATTATAAACGACTTTGGCAGGCCTTAAGAGTATACAACATAACCGCATTGACTACTTTTTAAAGTTTTCATTTCCGGAGCCTAACTAAATATCAAATGCTTCAGGTGAATGGTCTGGCAAAAAGCAAGCCATTCTCACATTGACTGTATCTCCGAAGCAGCTAATTCTGACTCTGTGTCTAGGAGTAACAAAGTGGACCTCTTTATCCCCAGGTCCTTCAAGATAAAATCAGAATCTGAACAATCCTCAAACCAATTGGATTTGCCCACAGCAACAGTCTATCCCATATCATCTAAATTTCCAGTGTTCTGGCCCCCACTGCTGCCATCTTTGATAAACAGACTTACTTTGTAGGCAAGTAAGGCTAGAGCTCTGGAACACTCGCACCATGACATCTGATTATGGCCTTTCTATGTAGCTGGTGACGGCTTCCCACCAGGTCTTTGAGAGAAAAGCAAGTAAGAATATTTTGCTGAATAGATTCATATGGTCAGTGAGTTCATTATTCACGTTTTCCTCCGTCAGTAAGTTGACATGATTCCTTCCACTTTACCAAAAATATAAATTTGGGTCAAATTCTATAAAAAACTAGAAATTACTTGATACTATTTTTTTAGTTACAGTAACATCCTGTTTCCTTTTCTTTTTAAAATTTTTATTTCTCTTTTTTTGAATGGTTTGCATTTTTTAATAACCCTTTGTCAGAATCTTAAAAAAGAAAATTAGAGATGGGGTTCTTGCTATGCTGCCCACGCTGGTCTTGAACTCCTGGCCTCAAATGATCCTCTTACCTTGGCCTCCCAAAGTGCTGGGATTACAGTCATGAGCCACCATGCCCAGCCCATCCTATTTCTTAAAACCAGATTATTTTTATTGAAATATACATATGTATATGAATATATAATATCTAATTCCTCTTAAAATGGAATCCAGATAATAATGTTTGCATTTTTCATGATGCTTTACTGTAAGTAAAGTGGCTAAGTGGTGCCTCTGGGACTTGAACTCATGCAGATTTTACTGCCACTTCATAGTATCTTCATAATAGCTTCTCTCAGGCAGGGCTATTATTCCCACTTACAAATGAGCAGACTAAGGTTCATAGAGATTTAATGAGCTGCTAATGTCAGAAGACGAAGAGTCAGAACTAGAATCCCAGTTCATGCTTTTTATTCAATATAATGTATGCAAGATGATGTTTATTGCAGCTGTATTGTTAACGGCATAACAACAGAAAATCACCAGATGGCCACAGGCAAATAAGTGTAATAATATACCAACTAAATGGCATATTATGCTGTCATTAACATTATGACTTTAAACAATAATAATAAGGATGATAGTTACCACTTATTGAATGCTTACTTTGTGACAGGAACAGCCACAGTCCTTTATGTGAACTAACTAATTTTGGTTTCACAACTCCATGAGACAGGTACTATCATTTTCTGCATTACACATGCTGAAAACAGAGGCTAAAATAAATTAAATTACTTGCCCAAAGCAACTCAGCTAATAAGAATGAGACTATCTGATTCCAAAGCAGGGTTTCTCAACCTTGGTATGGTTGACATTTTGGGCGGGGTAATTCTTTGTTGTGGGTGGGGCTCTCCTGTGCATAGTAGGATACTTAGCAGCATCCTTGGCCTCTGCTCACCACTTGTGATAACCAAAAATCACTCCAAACGTTGCTAAATGTCTTCTGAGGGACAAAATTGCTCTAGGTTGAGAGCCACTACCCTAAAGCCTATGCTTCACCATCATGCTGTTTATTCCCCTCCCGACACCACCAGCCTTCCTCTAGAACCTGGTGGTGGGAACATACATATATTCACATACAGAAACAGACATGGTCATAGACAGGATTCCCTGAGATACAGGTTCTGAGACTCTGAGATTTGATGGCAGGAGGTTGGGGGAGAGCGAGTGTTCCCACCCCAAGGAGTGTTTTTGGGAACCTCACTTGTGAGGAAGCAAGGGAAACAGAATTGAGCAGAGTGAGAGTTGGAATACAATGCACACTGGTTGTGATAGGCCTCTGCCAATTCCACAGGCAGCTCTGCAGCTGGGATGATCCTTTACAGTTGGCCTGACCTTCATCCACTCCCCATAGACCCATCACTGGATGTGGGCTACCTCCAAGGAGGGGGTATGTTCTAGGACAAGGTGGGTCCCCAGGGAAAGGACTTGCTGCGAACATGATAGTCACCAACACTTCCACATATGGTGACTGAATGCCCTCTCTGTCCTGAAGTGGCAATCTGGGCAGAGCACCACAGCTACATATATGACTTTTTTGATAGACTAATTTATAAGTAACTTAAAATACATGAGCATGTGGACCAAGACTGGAAACTAATAAGCATATGAAAATTGTCATTAAAATGGTAGTGTTTGCAGGCATGGTGGCTGATGCCTGTAATCCTGGGACTTTGGGAGGTTGAGGTGGGGGGATGCTTGAGCCCAGGAGTTCCAGGCTGCAGTGAGCTATGATCACACCACTGAACTCCAGTCTGGGCAATAGAGCAAGATCATGTCTCTAAATAATAATAAAAATTGGCCAGGTGTGGTGGTTCACACTTGTAAAACCAGCACTTTGGGAGGCTGAGGCAGGCGGATCACCTGAGGTCAGGAGTTCAAGATCAGCCTGGCCAATATGGTGAAACCCCGTCTCTACTAAAAATATAAAAATTAGCCAGGCATAGTGGTGCATGCCTGTAATTCCAACTACTCAGGAGGCTGAGGCAGGAGAACAGCTTGAACCCGGGAGGCAGAGGTTGCAGTGAGTCGAGATTGTGCCACAGTATCTCAGAGTCTGGGCTACAGAGAGAAACTCCGTTTCCAAAGAAACGACAATAATAATAATAACAAAATTTTAAATGTATTTCTATAATGTATTTTTCTCTTTTTTCAAAGTTGAATACAAGGATGTGGTCAACCATACTGTTCTTACCGTTGAAAAAGAAGTGCTGAGGCCAGGCATGGTGGCTCACGCCTGTAATCCCAGCACTTTGGGATGCCAAGGCAGCTGGATCACTTGTGGTCAGGAGTTCAAGACCAGATTGGGCGACATGGTGAAACCCTGTCTCTACTATAAATGCAAAAATCAGCCATTGTGGTGGCACACGCCTGTAATCCCAGCTACTCAGGGGGCTGATGTGGGAGAATTGAACCCTGGAGGTGGAGACTGCAGTGAGCCAAGATGGCGCTACTGTACTCCTGCCTGGGCAACAAAGCAAGACTCTGTTTTAAATAAATAAATAAATAAGTGCTGAGATCTCAGAAAATACAATGCCTAGCTTCAGAATACCATATATTATATATTCATATGGCTATAATGATTCCCCACCTGTTTATCTGCCCTAATGCAAGGAGCTTCCTTTCACAGTGATGCCAGGCACTGCTCTAAGTACTTTTATGTATCCTAACTTATTAAATCTCCTCAACCACCCCAAAATAAGTACCTTTATAAACTTCATTTTACAGAAAAGGAAATTGAGTTTCCAAGAGTTTAAGTAATTCAAGATCTACACAGCTAATAATTGTGAAACTGGGACTTGAACCCGTGTACTATGAGTCTCAAATCCTGGCTCTTACCAATCCTGGGCTACCACCTACTATATACATTTATTTGGCACAGTGTCCCTGAAGTCCCCTTAGCATGACAGTAATTTGTCCTCTCACACTTTTTCTTTAAACAAACAAACAAACAAAAAAACTAGAGTAGTAAAGCTGTCAATGCAAGACTATCCTAAGGGATAAAAAAAAAAAAAAGACTTCAAGTTTCCTAATTTACCGTCTTTCGAGATTTAAAGGCCTTTAGATGCCAGTGGAGATTGTAAGAATAAAGTTATGCTGTTGTTCTTTAAAGAATCAAGTCCTTCTTCTGCTTTCAACACAAAATAGGAAGGTTTATGAATACCTGTTTGAAGGATGACTCAGAGACAAAGCTTTACCCTCCCAAGAGACATAAGAGAACTAGACTACCTCTGGGACTCAAGAGGGAATTGCTGTTGAGCTGATTCACTAGGGACTGTTTCTGGTCCTCTGGGAAACTATGGAAAATTCCACTAAGGTTCATTAGCATTCTGAAAGCTAATTTTTTCACCAACAGACCTGAGTGAATTTTCATATTCCAAATTCCCAGTGAATTTTTTAAAAATTGAATTCCCAACCTCAAAAATCGTCTTTTTTTTTTTCCCCAGAATGCCCAGGCAATTCAGAATCTCTGTTTCACAGGAACACACAGTGCATGTGCCAGTTGAATAAGGCCTTCAAAAGGTCCACAGGTCGGTTGTCTCAATAGATACTTTATTTGAAATGGAATGCATTTTGAAAATATGAAAAATAAATCACATCTCCCCAAAATCATCTAAGAGACATATTTACACAAGTTCTGACCATGCTAAAAAATTCATGAATGTGATGGTGTATAAAGCATTTGGTACATGATGACACTTGCTTTCCAGAAGCTGGCGTTTGTATACTATAAAACGTTAAGAAGAAGGCTGACCTCGGAATGTAACAGAAAATAGTTTTATGTTTCTTCTCAATATACAGTGACCTGGAAGGACTACCTGTTGTTAAAACCTGCTTCCCCACTGCTCAGCCTGCCATCAACTGACCAGCTGCAGAGCAGTGGAGAGTAGGTCTTACCAGCTTTTGTGCAGATGCTTCTAACCCAGAGTCCTTTTGCTTCCTTCATTGGACAATATTGCCCTAAGAAAACCCTGTTAGATCCTGTACTCCATTTAGCAAATGCCCTGCCAGCAAAGTCACAGATCATTTTTTTACCCAATCTTAGATAAATCTGGATTATCTGCCCAACCATGCAAGTCAAAAAGCCACCCTTGAAAACTGTGTCAAGAATTGAGGAAACAGGTCTTAAGAACCTATCCAACACGTAATTCCATAACTAATACATCTTATGTTGTTTTAGGCAAATAGGTGTATCTCTTGAATCACTGATGGATTCAATACCAAGATCTATAATTTTCACATTTAAAATTTATTCTGTTGAGGACATTTTATTGCTAAAGCAAAAGCCAATTAGTTTGACACACAAAAAAAAGAAAACAAATGCTCACAGTCCTATCTTCATAGGATTCTGTGCTATAAAACTGCTCCAGGTTCAAGTCTTAGACCACTCTTCTAAGCCTGCTACTGAATATAATATTAACACAGGAGCCAAGCTAACACCAGATGACTTTTCCCCTAGGGACAGAAAACAAGGGATGTGTTTGAACTCATACACTTGCAGCAAACTTTACTGTCAGATTTAAAATTAGAGCTTTCTCTTAAAGAGCTTCTTTAAGAGAAATACAGAGTGTTTGGTATATGAGAGAAAAGAATAGTTAAAACAAGACTTTCAACTTAATCCAGACTTCCTAACAGTGTTTACATGTGAGGGAAACTCCTTTAAGTAATGTGTGTTTTTTATTTTTACCATCATTGGAGACAAAAACACAAAACCATAAACATCTGAAGTGAAATTATAAAGATGGTTTGATTTCTACATGATTAGAGAATCCCAATGAGGAAAATGTTCATTTTAAAAGGGCCCCTTATAGACGTTTACTCTCTGACGTCAGCACTCCCCATAGAGCATACACAGATCTAAATGGATTTCCACTTAGAAAGTCTGTTTAAGAAATTTTGTCATGATGTTTAGCCTGTCCCAGAATTCATTGTTCTCAGGGAATGACATGAGAGCAAATAAAAGGAACACTCAGCGAGGCAAGAGACACCATCTCCCAGATGCTGGGGAGTTACACATTTTGTCCTTCCTTCGTTTGTCCCAACAGACAGTTATTGAGCTCACTGTGTATGAGGCTTGGTGCCAACACAAGTTCAAGGATAAAAAGTTCAGTTTCCAGATGGAACATTACTCCTAATTTTTCAACTTTTTACATTTTATGTTTATTTAAGGAGTGGGTCTTCTATTGGATCTGCCCTTTCGGTCATCTTTTCCTTGGGTTGAAAAATGCATTTTTTACCTTTTTCCATGAAGTTGATTTGTCAGGCTTCAAAATACCTTAGGTGGTTTGTATCATTTTCTTACAGGTAGATAGAGGCACTGAGACATTAAATGATGTACATTTATATTTTGTTTTGGTTAGACTTACTGAGCGTGTTTGCTTTTTTGCTCTGGAAAAATTATTAATAATAATTTCAAAGGTGTCAAAACAATAAAAGCCATTCTACTTCTCTCTGATTTCTTAGATTTCACATTAAATGCTAAGAGGGGTTCAGAATAGAAAGTGATAAAGGTCAACATAAATATCACAAAAGACTAAGGAACAAGGGCTATGGAAAGTCAAGAAACCGTTATTCTGGGGCAGGGCATGGTGGCTCACGCCTGTAATCCTAGCACTTTGGGAGGCCAAGGCAGGTGGATCACCTGAGGTCAGGAGTTCGAGACCAGCCTGACCAATATGGTGAAACCCCATCTCTACTAAAAATACAAAAATTAGCTGGACATAGTGGCATGCGCCTGTAGTCCCAGCTATTCAGAAGGCTGAGACAGGAGAATTGCTTGAACCCAGGAGGCAGAGGTTGCAGTGAGCCGAGATTGTGTCACTGCACTCTAGCCTGCGCGACAGAGTGAGACCCCATCTCAAAAAAAAAAAAAAAGAAAAGAAAAGAAACCATGATTCTGGTGGCCCTATTAAGAACCATGGCCACCATGGGGGGAAAAAAAGGAAATCCAGCCACCAAGAGGGAGCCTGGGCATATTTTTTTAAGCAATGAAATTACCTATCCCCATATGTAAGCTAACAACATACAAATGCCTTTTTTAAAACCTACACCAATCTTAATTTGTAAAGTATTTGGTATGGATTTTTTAATTTTTAGTACAAGAATTTAAAAGAAAAATCCTCCATTGGGAAAAAAACTGTGGTTCATTTGGAGTTGTTATGATTTGCATGCATTAAAAGTATAGTACTATGAGGCACTCCTCAAAAAGTACAGCCGTACTTCTAAGGAAGCTGAACCAAACTTGATTTAAGAAATCTTTAGATCCGGCTCTCATTTCATATACATATATACATACATACACATATATACATATTCATGTATGTGCATATATGTGTACATACATGTTCTCATATATGTATATGTACATGCATATTCATATATGCATATACATATATACACATGAAATGAGTTTTTAAATGTTGGCAGCATATTTTCACAACTGCAACCTAAATAACCACTGGAAGTGGGGGTCCACTTAAGTTTTGTTTGCCATTTGCTTAATAGGGGAAAACTATTTAATTTTCCCTGCAACTTTTTGGATAAGAGTTATGATCTCAAAATGTCATTTAACTATTGCACTAAAAAGTACTTTGCCCTTGGAACTCCTTTCTAGATGGAAGGAGAATAAAGACATCTGTAGCATGTAATTCTATTTTTATTTCTTGACTACATAACCTGGCAGTGGTCTGATACTGACCGTTTCAATTTAAATGCTGGAAAAATACTGACCAAGACTTTCTGTGAAAAAGATAATGGAAAACAGAAACCAGTTAGTAAAGCCATGTAGATAGGAAGTGATTTTCAGCCCCAAGAGGACTTTGTATCATCTATGGCTCCATTTAAACTTAAGTAGCATCTGCCCTGGTGGATTTTGAACATCCTTTTGATTTAACACAGAAGAAGGTTTGTTCTACCTTTAAAAGCACATCCTCTTTTTTCCCCCTACAGACTCCTCAACAAGTGGCTTCTAAGACAAGACTGGGGTTGTTTTCTTACTGAAAATCCTGTGTTTATCCAGTCTTTTCCTTTTCGATTTCTGATTTAGCTAACCTAACAACAAAACAGAATCCTCAAATTTCTCACAGAGCAATGAAAAGCAAAACAGTTGGTTTCTCTGATCAACATCATTTTCAGTATGAAAACAAGAAGTTATGACGCCTAGACCTTTGAAATATTTACACATTGTACTTTAAACAACGAGATTTTTCAGTGTGCTTCTAAAACAAAGTAAAGGGATCAGAAAATGTGGTTCAAGTGTGCAAAGCTCTCGGAGAAAGGTCCTGCAGCCTGGACAGGAGCACAAATATTCTCTTATACAAGTTAAATATACTATTTCCCTCCACAACATTTTTGAAATGAAACAGCAAATGCATTTATACTCATAAATCAATCGAAAGACCTCTTCTCCTTGTTAAGCCCTTTACACACAGATGATAAGAGGTTTTCCTACAGTAGATGTGGCCCTACCACATATTCAAGATACAATCATCCTACCATCATCAGTTAGGTTATGTTTTAAATATTTTGAAATCAGGTATCCCTACTACTGATTTCCTTTTAGAAACTATCTTGAGCATTAGATATTCATAATTACACCATTTTGAACTTTTAGCTTTTTTAAACTTCTAGACAAACTATATGTCTAAGCAAAAACAAAAACAAAAATCCTCAAAAATAGTAGTATCGGAGTTTTAATTTCAATCACTTGGCATAACAATGAAAGTGTCATACCTTCTGAAAGTACTCCAGGAATAATGACTAGATTCTTAAATGTTTTCCCCTCCACCGCCCTTTTTTATTTTCCAAGACTAGGACTTACTATGGAATAGGTTTTTGAAAATAAAGTTTCCTTTTTGGAAAATGGCCTACATTCAGAAATGTCTTAGAACAAGCATTTTAAAAAAAAAACTAATAAATAATCATAAATCAAAATACATTAGAATAAAATTACAGTACATCATCGCTCCTAGAAAATTCACCATACTAGACGATCCTTTCAAAGGTTCATAAATAAAAGTCTTCTTGAGTCGAAATCGTTTCCTGCATCGTGATGAAAAGTATGCAGAAAACTAAGACGAATCACAAGTTTTCAGTAGGGTGATGTCCAAACTACTTGATCTGGTGCGGGGCGGAGAGACTGTTTTGCTTTTGATCCAAGTGAAGACAATAGAAATGTGCTCGTCCCACTTCCTCAAGTCCTCAAAACCTGGAAAGAAATGATACCGAGTGAAGTAGGTGGCTAGGAACCCTCCCAGACCAGTTCTGTTCGGGCCAGTTTGGCTGACAAAGCGGGCTCAGAAAGGCACTGCGGTGTTTCCCTCAAGTGCCCAAACACACAGTCAAGTGTGGCTGGGGGGCGCACCACCGGACAGGGACGGTCGTGATGGGCGCGGGCGCGGTCTGCGAGGCCCCCTGCCTGGCCCGGGCCTCCCCAGCCTTCCCTCTCTGCCCAGGGCCTCCTGGCTCCAGTTTGTTTCTGTTCCTTCCATCGCCAAGGAAACTCGGAATGAGTTCTGATTTCTCCATACAGGAGCCGAACCTGTGAGCGAGTTTCCTACTCCTCCCAACACATTCCCGAGACCCACTCCACTGGAGCGCGAGGGCCGGGACCTTACCTTGTCTGGCCCGGGAGCTGCCCCCTTCAGGCAGAGTTGGAGGTGCTGCGGAGAAGCCGGTGTCCGTGCGGCTGCGGGTGCGGCTGTGGGTGCGGGTGTGGTATTTGGTGCGGGTGCGGGTGCGGGTGAGGGTGTGGGTGCGAGTGCGGATGAGAGTGTGGATGTGGATGTGGATGTGGATGCGGATACGGGTGGAGCTGCTGGGGCTGAGGCTTGGGTTGGGGCTGAGGCTGGGGTTGTGACTGGGGCTGGGGTTGCGGCTGAGGCTGAGGCTGAGGCTGAGGCTGGGGTTGGGGTTGGGGTTGGGGCTGGAGCTGCGGCTGCGGCTGCGAGGGGGGCTGCTGCTGGACCAGGTGCTGCTGCTTCTGCCGCGTGGACTTGACCGCCAGGATGGCCTGACGATTCTTGTACTGCACCATCTGCAGCGTGATCTCGGCGTTCCAGCCCTGGTCTTGCGGGCACCGAAAGTCGATTTCCTTGCCCTCTGCCATCACCACAGTGAAGTACATGTACTTGCCCTTGCGCTCTACACAGTCCACGGTCTTCATGTTGGAGAAGTGCAGTTCCTTGAGCTTGACCGGCGGCTCGAGGCTGGCGACAGCGGGGCCACTGGGTAGGGACGGCTCGGCCGGCCCCTGCCCGGGCTGTTGTTGCTGCTGCTGCTGCTGCTGCTGCTGTTGCTGCTGCTGGTGTTGCAGCTGCTTGGGGGGGATGAGCAGCAGCCCCTCCTCGGTGAGGATGCAGCACTTTTTCTTCCAGAGCTGCAACAACCCGTCGCTGCGCTTCTCCAGCACGCCCTCCTTCAGCGCTTTGCAGCCGCTGCTCTCCAGCATCCTCCCAGCATAAGAGGGGCCGCCGCTTGGCTCGGCCTCTCCGTTTCCAGCCACGCGGGCCGGGGGCAGCAGCAACAGCCGCGCGCCGTCCTCGCCCCAGCGGCTCCCACGGCCGCCTGCCCGGAGCGCGCAGAGGAGGCTAACACGCAGGAGGCAGAGCGGCGGCGGCGGCTGTGGGTCCCGGCAGAGGGACAGCCGCGTCCTGATGCGCCACAAGGTCCCGGAGCCGCGAGCTGCCGGGCCTCTGCCGTCCTCTTGCGAGCGCTCACTGAAGGGCACTGGCCGGGCCCCCTCGCGGCGCTTTTGAATGGGCCATCTTCCCCACCCCCGAGTGACACCCAGCGGAAAAGGCGGCTCCTGGCGCCCGCACCACGGGGGAAAGCCCAGCTCCGAAAGGCGCTCGGCAACCGGCGCACGCCTCATTAACTTGGGGCCTTTCCAAAGCCGGCTGCGTCCACGCCCCCCGCGTCCCTCGCTCCGCCTCTCGCCGCCCACTTGCTTCCGCGCTTGTTCCCCTGGAAGGCGACCCGGACCCGAGCCCCGGAAACTCCTCTCCTCCACCCAGGGCGATCGCCCAAGGAGTCCTGGCTGCCTGACGACTAATGCCGACGCTCACAGGGCGCTGCGAAGCCATCCCCCGCGTCCCGCCTCTCCCCGGCCCGCGGGGCTTTCTGCTAACAGCCTCAGAAAGTGAGGACAGGGGCGCGGAGGCGGGGGCAGCCTCCAGGCTGTGCTCTCTCTCCGTTCTTGGGAATTAGCCCTGGGGATTCGCGCTTGGCTCCGAGAGCCGGCAGAACCAGCGTCGTAGCCTGGGTGAGCCGGGAGGCCGGGGCCGAGGCTCGCGAGTCCCGCGAGTGTGCCTCCCCCGGACGCCTAGGTAAACAAGTGAGCGCACAGAGGCCGAGAGGACATCGTGTCTTCCCAGGCATATTCGCTCACGGTCACTAATTAGCTCTTCTTGGAAAGAGGGCGACTGTTAAAGCAATGGTGCGACTGTCGGGTTTGCCACGGGTGGAGAAAGGCGGACCCACGTCAAGTCGCATTTCGCCTGCCTTTTCTCTACTTCGACCGGAGGCGCTAACCCGTCTTCGGCTTTCTTCTTGACCCGTCCTTACGGTGTTCATCGTCTCTTAAACAGTAACTCTCTACAAACCGGGATAATATCCGGTACTGAGATCCCACACTGCAAGGCACAGTTCTAAACGCCTGGTCGACCTCGCGGCTCCCTCTTTCCAAGCGCCTAGCCAGATGTTGGTTTTGGAATCTCATTTATCTGTGACCTGGGGAATGCAATACCCCCAGCTTCCTCCTAGTCCTTACATTTAAACAATGCCTATAGAAGCCGCTTCCTGGGAATTAAAGCATAACGGAGACCTAGCCTCCCGGTAGGGAAATTCATCCGTTTAGTAAACAGCCCCAACTATGTGCGGACCCTCACGAAGACTTAAACCAGGGCTGGACAAGTCAGAGTGGGCCAAGGTAAGAGGAAGGGCTGCTACTGTGCCCACATTGGAACAGATAGATTAGCTCATCTGCTAGTTGTGTGGCAAGAGCAAAGAATTCAAGAGGGGAAGAGAAAGTGAGAGGAGCTTAGACAGCTAAGCAAGAGTCGAATCCTTTGTGTGTCATGGTAAGAAATTCGAACTTAATACCAACCTAATCAGAAGAAAGGATAAGTTTTATACACGAGGGCGTCCTGAATCTTCATCTAAGAAACATGGTCTGATCAAACGGGACAATCCAGCCAGCAATCCTGAATCCCACTAAATTATGCTTGGCCAGCTTTCTAACCTTCACATTGTTAACTGATTAGCCATCTTTCCAGGAGAATGGCAATTATTAAAATTATGAGGATTTCTAGTAAAATTATGTCTCAAAGATTTACAATTATGTATACCAATAACAAAAAAACTACAAACATGCTTTCTGCCCCCTGCCTTTGTAGGACAAGTGAGCATTCCAGAGAATTTCTACATGACCAGCTGTTCATTCTTTTAAGAGGATGACATTCTTCAGCTCATCTGGAAAGGATACTTCCTTTAAGTCTGTTATTCACAGTCTCCAAGGGCAGGTGTAGTTGGAAAAGACATTTCATATGGAAAAACAAACTTGATAGGGTAAAAAAAAATGAGATGTAATCTGGAGGCCCAAATCATTTTCTAAGGAGAAACCCAAATGTATTTGGTGTTATCTAACCTTCTGCAGCTTATCGGTCTGAAACAAATGCGTTCTAGTCTCATTTGAAAATGTCTGAACAGCCACCACAATTTTCAAAATCACCCATTTAATTATAACTGGAGACTTTAAAGCCCAGAATTTCCAGTTACGTATTTCACAATGATCTAGTAATTTTGTGAGCAGCTCAGTGGTTAAGTCTACAACGTCTGACTATGGGGCATTATTGAAAATAACAATAGTGTAAGGATCCAATAGTGTAAGGATTGGTGACAGCTGTGCTCTTGTTATTTTAACAGTCATCACCAACAGTTGGTGACTTAACAAATTAAGAGCATAGTTGCCATATGCTAATATTTGGCAAATATGTCAAAATGGCCATATTTGCCAATTTTTTAAGACAATAAATTCACAGAAAATGCATTACAGAACTTAAAAAAAAAAAAAAGCTTTGGGCCAGGCATGGTGGCACATACCTGTAATACACACTCTAGGAGGCTGAGGCAAGAGGATCCCTTGAGCCCAGGAGTTTGAAACCAACCTGGGCTACTTGGCAAGGCCTCCCTCTACAAAAGTAAACAAAAATTAGCCAGGTGTGGTGGCATGCGCCTGTAGTCCCAACTACTTGGGAGGCTGAGGTGGAGGACTGTTTGAGCCCAGAAGTTCAAGGTTGCAGGAACTAGGATCGCACCACTATAACAAGCCTGGGCAATAGCAAGACCCTGTTTAAAAAAAAAAAAAAAAAAAAAAATTCAGCTGTGTATGCAATGAAAACCTACAAGTCACTTAAAAGTTACTGAAGTTTAGAAAACTAGCCAACAAAATCATTGCTTTGGTAAACAAATTTGAAATGGCTAATTCAAAGTACATTTTACAGTTGGCAATATCAAGTTGTCTATCAGCAACATTGGACAGTTCATTTTCTTCTCTTGGATAAAGTTTATCACTTGGCTTCAAGGACATCACTCAGTTTTCCTTTACATCTCTGGTATCTCCTCTACGAGGTTCTTTCTCTTCTCTCCAACATTTTAATGTTGGGATGCCCCAAGTCTTAGTCTTTGGCTCTCTTCTTTATCTACACTCATTCCCTTGTTGATATCCAGTCTCATCACTTTTAATAACATTCATATGCCAGAGTCCCAAATTTATACCCCCAACTTATATCCAACTGCTTACTGCTGAAGAATAAACCACTGAAGTTAAAAAATAATAGACATACTAGGCAAGGGAACACTTACTAGTAAACCCATTTACTGAGTAGTTCACTAGAGGCTTAAGTCTGAGGGGATTTTAGGTCATAGGAAAAAAAACAAAACAAAACTGAAAAACAACACTCCGGATAGGTCAGAGTCGTCTATAATTCATACACAATAGGTTATACCAAATTCCTACATGGAACTGCTCCAGTTTGTAGGTTAGAATTAACTACAGTGAAAAACAGCCCTCGGTTTTTATATATTCTAGGCCAGTGAGTGCTACTATAAGTTGAAAATTCTCCATTTACACTTCTCTACAGTACTGCCTGTGTAATCTAAGATAAAACATGTGAATGAGCTCCCAAACTATCTTCCTCACCCTAACCTATTCTATCTGCAGCCCCCTTTCTCAGTTGACAGCAATCCTCTGTAAAGATGCTCAAACTAAAAACCCTAAATCAGTACTGCCCTTACACCAGGCCAGGAAAGGCCCTTAGCAAGGCCCTGAGCTTTAGGATTGAGCGCTTTAAAGTCAAAATGACATGTCATCTAGAGGGCATACTCATTCTGCACTACACTCTAGGTACTCAAGACCCCAAATACCCTGCCCAGAATAGCCCCGGCTGTTCCAGGAAATGCATTACATCATCATTGCATGCACTGATGTGTTAGGGGGATGGCACGGTTTGAATATACTTGTTATGGCATCCAAGTAAATATGCAGGAGGCCCCTTGCCATACAGTTCAGAGCCGGAGTGGGAAGAAAAGGAAGGTGGGACATGGGCTGAGGGTCAGCTCTGTCCCCAAGTTATGTTCTGGCATAAATACAAACCTGGCTTCCCAGTTCTAATGAAAGTTTGTCAAGACAGGCACATTGGGCATATTTTCATTAAACAGAACTTTTAAATATTTAAACATATGGTATCTCCATTGTACTCTTGCCCCAGGCCTTCAAGGGCATAGAAGCATGCCTGCCTTCTGATTTTTTTCTTTCCCAATATTCAATCTACACATTTAGGCAGGAAATCCCATTGGTTATGCCTTCAACTACATCTGGATTCTGTCTACTTCCTTAATTACCACCCTAATCCAAATCACCATCATATCCCCCCGCTGGATTACTACAATGGCCTCCTAACTTGTCTCCCTGATTCTATCCTTATTATCTATTTTCAGCATAGCACCCAGGGTCATCACTTTCTTCAAGTCTTGACTCAACAGGCCTATCCTGATCACTCTCAAATGGTAGCCACCCAATTCCCCTTAATTTTTCCCATAGCATATATTCTAACATGCTACTCAATAATTTATTGTACCTATTGCTTATTTCTGTTCCCCTTCCTACTAGAATAGTATGCAAGCTATTCAAGAGGGCAAGGACCATTATTTCTGATGTGTCCCAATCACCTAGAAAAAGTACTGATACAAAGTAGATCCTCAACATAGGTAGAAATCTTGACTTGAGTCAGAAGTCCATACCCATCATTAAAAGAATATCAGTTTTTTCAAATGCTTCTGACAGATTTTTCATGATGCATCCTAAAATTTGAAATGTAAGGACTTGAAATGTGCCCTACAAATATATCTCTGCTATAATTTTTAAATGGATAACTACATGCTAGGCCTCTCTGAATCTTAAATGCTTTCATAGTCCAGACATCATATAAAATAAATCCCACAAATCTTTTCCCAAGCAACATGCAATTTAATATTGTGAGAGGTGTTTATATAAACTAGCATCCTACTGTTTTCTAGTAAGAGTATTTAGAAGCACGAGAAACACAGTAATGGAACTGAGTTGGTAAGTTTCTTACTTGGCAGTTACATAGTCAAACACTTGATTAAAAGTCCATTAATCAATACTAGCTTAAAGACATGTAACAGAACTTGGAAAGTTATGAAGTGTTTAATTCATAATGATTACAAAATTCTGATATGTAAACTAATTTGCAATATACAGTAGAAACTCCTGACAATGATCATTATTAAAGATTTGGATAGTCCAAAAGTCAAACATCTTTCAAAAAATAGTTAAAACCCAGTAAATTATGAACATGTCACATTGCCCTTATCAGTGTATAAAAGATAAAGAAGGCTGGGCGTAGTGGCTCACGCCTGCAATCCCAGCACTTCAGGAGGCTGAGGCAGGCAGATTGCCTGAGGTCAGATGTTCGAGACGTCTGGCCAACATAGTGAAACTCCGTCTCTGCTAAAAACGCAAAAAAATGCGCCTGTAATCCCAGCTACTCGGGAGGCTGAGGCAAGGGAATTGCTTGAATCAGGGAGGTGAAGGTTACAGTGAGCCAAGATCGTGCCACTGCACTCCAGCCTGGGCAACAGAGACTCTGTCTCAAAATAAATAATCAAATAGTCCCACATTCAGAGTGCAGTTTAGACTTCTTGGCCTTATTTAATCTTTGAAGTACTATTCAGAAGAAATATTCTAGATTCTAGTTTTCAGAAGTCCTTGAGTTGAAAAGGTTAAACATTAACACGGAACTATCCAGACTTCTTAGGTGGGTGTCCAGAGCTGCCTTCCTTTTCGCCTTACTAGTTGATGAACGGATGCCTCCTAGTGATCAATCTGTGTAACAGCTTAAAGTGCTTTATAAGAGTGCTTTGTGCTGTTTTTTTTAACCGTAGTACAACCTACTTGTGGATCCAAGCACCGTCCATCAGCTGTCTCCATCCTTTCTGTTCTGCCAGCAGCCTAATTCAGTTCTCATTTCTCATCTAAGTTTTTGGGTGGCCCAACCACCTGATCCATACTCTCATACACACGGTCTTCAGTTTTACTCCTAAAATATGACAGAAAACTTCTATTCACCTCCCATTGTATATAACATTCCAATTCCTTACCCTTGCATGGCAAGTCCTCCACAGAATGGGTCCTGCTTGCCTTATTTCGACTCTCTTTCGGCTCAACCTTGAGTGAGTGCCATGCATATATCTGCTTGTCCTCACTGCCTCCAATTTGCTTTCCCGAATCCTCTGTAAGCTTTCATTCTTCAAAGCCCAGTTCAACTCCTACCTCTTAGATTTCTTCTGGCTGAGTTAATTCCTTTCTAATCACTTCAAACTCTGATGAGTAGTTACCAGATTTTCACATCTTTTTTTTTTTTTTGAGACGGAGTCTCGCTCTGTCGCCCAGGCTGGAGTGCAGTGGTACCATCTTGGCTCACTGCAAGCTCCGCCTCCCGGGTTCACGCCATTCTCCGGCCTCAGCCAGAGTAGCTAGGACTACAGGCACCCACCACCACACCCAGCTAATTTTTTTGTATTTTTACAAAAATTACAAAACGGGGTTTCACCGTGTTAGCCAGGATGGTCTTGATCTCCTAACCTTGTGATCCACCCGCCTCAGCCTCCCAAAGCACGTCTACTTCCCTAAGTATCTAAGATCCTGGATAAGTGTTTTCACCATTGTACCTAACGGAGAGCTGATTGACAGCACTTATGAGGGGAAATGACTAATGTTTTGTCTGGAAATGTATTGTTATTATTCAAAACAGGCAAGCAGGCTATCTTATTGAATATTATTAACAAGTAACCAGGGAGTCTGATGATTTGTAAACTTGTTATGGTAATATTAGCTTTGAAATGACAAACGAAAATATGGAACTGAATGAAGTGGAGCAGAGAGGAAGGTAATCCAATGAAGGAGGCTGAGACCCAGTATTACATTGTCACAAAACTGCAGTCACTCAAAAGTGTTGATATTCTGGCTCTGGGTCTTTGGGGTGACAAGATACCCCAGTAACTAACAGTGGAAGCATTGCTCTGGCTGAATAGCAATCCTCCGTCCCCTTTTAAGAGCCCAAGAACACCTATCACCTTTCCTAAATCTGTTTCTACTCTGAAACCAGGTAAATGCACCCGTTGTTTGCAACTCAAATATCTAATTGACAGTCACTTGGGCAAATACTTCCATTTAAGGAACTAGATTCCAAGGATATTTCCCTCTTTTGCTATCATTTTTCCATTGCCACAGAACACACAGCCTGAGTTCATAGGCTGTTCAATTTGATCACTATTATCTAAGACAAAAATATATATATATCCAGTAATGGGCAAATACCTTTCTTAGGTGATAGAGGACATATAGCAGTGAGTGTAGACAATTCTCCCAAAAAATATGAGAATAAAGAAAAAAGGTGGTAGTGGTGTTACCTTAGAAGAGGAACTCAGGCTTCAGAGAGGGTAGGTTTCATTACAGACAAG